CCCCCCCCCCCCCCCCCCCCAATGTGATTACCACACACTCCTTCATGGATCTCCCAGAGGACTCCTTGTGCCTCGCTGCTACTCAGGCATCGTTGCAAAGGCGTTGAGAAGCCTCGTCTGTAGAGCAAGCCATCATATAGTAAGTACCGGGCTACTCTATACTTGATCTGTCTGGCCTCGTCTTTGTCATCGGGCAGCTTCGCATTTATTAGGTATTGGATAAGCAGCGTCATCCAACTTTCAGATGTCTAAAGTGTCAGGACTTCTTTTATTTCGGCAATGGTCGGCCACTCGAGTTCTTTAATGGGGATGACCCCTAGTGGGTCGAAATCCTTTGAAGACGTTAGTTTGGCCAAGACATCGGTGTTTGTGTTCTTGGTTCTTAGTACCTGCGTTATTTCATAGGTTTTGAACTTAGTAAGTTCTTCCTTTACCTTTCTTAAGTATGCCCCCATTCTTTTGCCGCGCGCTTGATACTCCTCATTCACCTGCCCGACCACTAATTGGGAGTCACAAAAAATGTTGAGCCTTTCAATCTTCAAGTGACTTACTAATCGCAATCCTGTAACCAACTCCTCGTATTCCGCTTCATTGTTCGACGCTTTGAATTTGAATCGTACCGCCGAAGTGATTTGGTGGCCTTCGAGGCTGATTAGCATGACGCCCGCACCTGACCCAGCTTCACTCGATGCTCCGTCTACGTAAAGTTTCCATTATGTTTCCTTGTTTCCTTCGTCGGTGGTCAACGTCAGTTGGTGGGAAAATTATGCCAGGAAGTCCACATATGTTTGTCCCTTGATCACTGCCCTCGGTACGTATTCGATGTCGAATTGACTTAACTCCACCGACCATTTCAAGAGTCGACCGGAGGTTTCAGGTTTCTGCAACGCCTGCCTTAATGGGTGGTTTGTTAGGACCCGTATTGTGTGGGCCTGAAAATAGTGCCGAAGCTTTCTTAATGCCACCATTAAGGCGATGGCTAATAGTTCCATCTGAGTATATCTTGCCTCGGCGTCTAGGAGTCTCTTGGTTACATAGTAGACCGGTAACTGGGCCCTTTCTTCTTCCCTGATTAGCACTGAACTTACGGCATGTTTCGATATGGAGAGATACAGGCTCAGCTTCTCGCCTGGAATGGGCTTTGACAAGATAAGGGGTTTGCCCAGGTGCTCCTCTAGCCTTTGAAAGGCTTCTTCGCATTGTGGTGTCTATTCAAAATGCTTACTCCCCTTCAAAGCGTCGAAGAAGGGAACACATTTGTCCGTTGCTTTAGATATGAATCTGTTTAAGGCGGTGACACATCCTGTTAACCGTTGGACCTCCTTTGGTTTGGTAGGAGATCTCATATCCTGCAAGGCTTTTATCTTTTCCGGGTTTGCCTCTATTCCTCGGCTATTGACCATGAAACCCAAAAATTTTCCCGATCCGATCCAAAAAGCGCATTTTAGGGGATTTAGCTTCATGCGAGAAGGAAAAAGGACTCATCCTTTGTTGCATCTGGCATGAGATGATAAAGAGAGAGCTTCGTCTATCGATGAACAGCGGATTGAGGGAGCTCTTGGCATTGCTTTGTTTTTCTCTCCTTTCCTATCAGCGAGTTCCGATCTCCTTAGTACATTAAAATTTTCTCCCAAATGTGTGACGTGCTGTCTCGCCTTAACACTTTTAACTAGCATGTCATTGACATATATCTCCATTGTCTTCCTGATTTGTCTGGCAAACATTTTGTTTACCAGTCTCTGATATGTTGCCCCTGCGTTCCTTAAGCCGAAGGGCATCACCTTGTAGTAATAAAGGCCCCTGTCAATTATGAATGACGTGTGCTCCTCATCAGATGGATGCATGGGAATTTAATTATAACCAGAGTAGGCGTCCATGAAACTTAATAGTTCGTGTCTGGCAGTAGCGTCAACCATTTGATCTATTCGGGGGAGTGAAAAATCGTCTTTTAGGCATGCCTTGTTGAGGTCGCTAGAGTCGACGCATGTCCTCCATTCCTCGTTAGGCTTGGTTATCAGGACGAGATTTGAAACCCACCTGGGATAATGAGCCTCTCTGATGAAATTATTATTGATCAATTTGCCGACCTTTTCTCTTAGCGCCTCATACCTCTCCGGGTTCATCGGTCGACGCTTTTGGCGCTTAGGTAGATATAATGCTGGAACTTTGGACGGGCCGCCCGCGACCGCCCGAAAAGCCTGAGTTTTTACCCGAGCCCGAGCCCGAGCCGCCCGAGAAATTTGGGCCGCCCGCCCGAGCCAGAATTTCACCTTGAACGGGCCGCGGGCTTGTATTAGGCGGCCCGAGCCCGCCCGAATTGCCTGAATTATTTAAACTTTTTTTTAATATTAAGTTATTTTGTGTTAAAATTTATATATATATATATATATATATATATTACAATTTGAAATTTGAAATGAACACACGAACTATATAAAAAAATTCTTTCTTTATTAATTTTTAAATTTATAATTCATGATTACCTCATTAAAAACTTTACCAAAAAAAATCCAATTGGGATAAAAACTTGGCAAGGAAAAAAGAGTGCAATCATATTGTGACGAATTATAAATTTTACAAACTTACAAAGTTATACAATTACAAATACAATGTCAAAGGTAAATACATATTTATAAATTACAAATTTACAATTTAATTTAAAGCTAAAGGATCGTCTTCAAAATTAAATGTTAATCGATTAAATTCATCGATCCATTATTGGCTTGCCGGTGAAATTGTATCTTGTAAATGTTGATCGGCCCGATCCCAATCCTTAATGCAAACCAAGGCTTCAACATTGAGTGACTGGTCTTTTAAAATATCATCAAATAGCGATGAAGTTATTAAACCAAACCAATCATCGAGTGACTTTTGATAAATTATCAATTTACTTTGGTATGCAAGTAGAAAGTTACTTTGATATAGAGTCACAAATAGAGTGAAGAAAGTTGAAGAAAAAAGAGGATAATTAAGAGGATGAGGAGAGATTGTGAATAGAAAAATAGATAAAGATAGAAAGAAGAGTGATATAGAATAGAAAAACACGAGTATCTATAAGAACAAAACCGGCATTATATAGAAACAACACTTTTTAAAAATAAAAAACAATAAAAACGTGATGGCAATGTGTTTCTTTTCTTGTGTATATTGTTTTTTGAGGAATCATTTTATAATTTGATTGATTATAAAAAAGGGTCAAGAATGTGAAAACTGAAATATTAAACTACTAAAATAGGAATTTGCTCTTTCTATTAAGGAATTGTGTGTTTACCTTAATTAAAAAGTTAAAAATTTAAATAACAAATATGGGCATTGGGTCTAGTGGTATGATTCTTGCTTTGGGTGTGAGAGGTCCCGAGTTTGATTCTCAGAATGCCCTAATTTGTAGCAACTAATATTTTTGGGCGGTTTTGGGCAAATCGGGCAACTCGGGCTTCGGGTAAAATTCAGGTTTTCGGGCTTATTTTCGGGTCGTGCAATTCGGGCGGGTCGGGCAGTTCGGGCATGGTCGGAAAATTCAAAAAAATTTCGGCGGACGGCGGTTAGACGGCGACGGGCAAAAGAGTTAGTGTCAAATTCGGGCTGCCCGAGCCCGAACCCGAAAATCTAGCTTGGGCGGGCGAGAGATGGGCTTGCCCGCCCGAGCCTGAAAAAATTCGGGCAGCCCACCGACCCGAACTTCCAACACTGGGTAGATATGATGGGTCGATGTTTAGAGCATGGCACATGACTTTGGGGTCAATCCTTTCCATGCTAGCGCGCGTCCAGGCGAACACATCCATATTTTTCTTCAGGAAGTACTCGACTTCGACCCTCAACGCCGAGGACAAATTCGAGCCTACCATTAGTATTTTCGTTGGCTCCTCATTATCCACCTGGATCTCTACCAACTGTTCAATGGGTTGAGACAATGCAATCTCCTCTTCAACTCTAGGGTCTATGTCATCGACAGTATCTTGATGTACCATCCTAGTTTCCTGTTTTCCTGATTGATCATATCCGCGTATGGCGTCCGAGTATGCAACCCGGGTCTCGTATTGGTTGCTTTTCATTTCTCCTACACCATTGGGGGTCAGAAACTTAACCTTTCGATTACGGCGTTGTACTGTGAGCCTCCTTTGATTATCACGAAATTTGTCATCGTGGTTGCCTGTTTGGGCTTTTCTCCCATGGTCATCGGTAGTCGGATTATTCCTTGGGGGATGATTAAGTCCCCGGTGAATGCGTATAATGGCCGGGTTGTTTTCTCGAGTTGCTCATTTGGAATTCTCATTTTTCCCAAGCAATCGGAGTATAGGATGTCCATCGAGCTTCCATTGTCTACAAGGATCCTACACACCATGTCGTTTCCAACCATTGCTTCTACCACCAAGGCGTCATCGTAGGGGAAATGGACGCCATTCGCATCTTCTTCCGTGAATGTCACGACAGTATTACTTAATTTTGTTGCCTTGGCAGCGGAGAGAGTCCAAAACCTCTCCTAGTATACCCTTTGCTTCGTGGGTATAACTTTTATGGGACTTGCTGGAATCTCCCCTGAGATATGGCCCCCCATGGATGGTTCTTATGACACCGATCGGTTCGCAGTTTTCTCCCCGCCGGTTATCCTCCCGGCGCCGACTGATATTTCCTGGGCTTTGGCCTTTCCTTTCGGCTTTGAACTCCTGCAACCTTCCTTCACGGATTAGCCTCTCGATTTCATCTTTTTGGTCAGCGCAGTCATTGGTGTTATTGCCAATGTCGCCGTTGAACCTGCAGTACTTGCTCTGATTCGTCCGGTTTGGGTATGACTTCATCAGCTCTGGTCGGTGCAATAAGTTTCCTCGGCTGACCTGATTAAACACCTCCTCGACTCCTACTATAAGCTCGTGGTAGGAGTCGTACCGTTGGAACGGTCGAGGCTTGTGGTTCTCAGCTTGCCTCGGCTTCTTCGTTTCTGGAGCGCTTGAAGTCGAGGCAACTTGTTTGTCTCTGTTTCCCCCACCTCATCATTTTTTACTATCTTGTTTCCTTGAGGTCGACCATTGCTCAGCTCATTTGGTTTTATTGGATCTGTGTTCAGGATTGTTCGCATCAGCTTCCTCGGCGTTGATATACCCCTGGGCCCGTGCCAATAATTTTCTGTAAGTGGCTGGTGGCTTCCGGTTGAGGTCACATTTAAATGCCGTGCTCTTTTTCATGCTGGACAGAGCCCCCATCAGAGCCTCTCGGTCCGTCATGTCCGTTGTAGCGG